AAAAAAAAACGCATCTTCGCACGGGTAGTCCGTGCGTTGGCTAATTATTTACCATCATTCACAGCTATTTGTCCGTCAAAATCACCACAATTTAAAGCGTCGTCAGTCTTTATAAGGAGTACTGGTTGTTCCCCATAAACAACTGGACTGTCGGACACAACAGAAAATAGCAATATCAGAAAAAGTTCCACTTCAAAGAGGTACTGTAAATAGCCAGAAAAACCAAAATATAAACAAATAATGTGTCGCCGGCATCATATATCGTCGTAATTCAGCCGTCTTTTTAACATTTTCAAATGGCATGGCTGCAGCATCCGTCGCGTTCCGCTTTCGATTCTGAGGAACTCTGCTGTGCGAAAATAGTGGTACCGACTCAATATACAATGCAGTCGACAATGCATGTAACTGAAAAAAAAACATATTAAGCCGCGCATGATACAACTCCATTCTGATAATTTGGTCATTCTGTTAGGAAACCAGAATGGTATTGAACGCGAACTGCTGAAACTGAGCTTGACCATGGCCAGAACGTGAGCGGGGGCTGGGAGGAATGCAGCAATCCGCATGTGTTCAGTGAGATAGGCTGAAAAGTTGATGTACAGTTTCAGCCGGTAAACACGTTCCTAGCAGCATTCACTCAGCATCAAAATTCAGTACTTGTCAACCAGGTTGCTGCAATCTCCGTATTTCTCAACATCACATATCCACAACGGAACTGCAGCTCTTGTGTTGGCAAAACCACTTATTGCATCCACAACGGGAGAGGATATTAGTGGACGGAAAATGACGAACCTGTACTGCGGCTTCCGCCACCTGATGGCCTGAGGCTCCAACTCATCATCATCATCATCATCATAATAATCATCACGCCGTACCACAACGTCCTCTGGTGCCGGTGCCAAAGGTGAAAAAAGAACACCGCATGATGCACACATTGCAGCGTGCTTTGTTGCTGACAGTGCCACAACTTCGAACGACTTGCCGTTGTGGTTTTCCTCGAAAAATATTCTGCTTGATCTTTCCGTCATTAACTGTCTCTATAAAAAGGCATTATGAAATTTTGTTATTATGTTTCTCCACCTCTGGGCATGCAATCGCACAAACATTAGACCTCAGCACTAGAGCATTCCCACATATCTTTCAGCGGTCGTTCTGGAACTGCCATTGGTCGTATAGAAACAATCTCGCGTTTTCGCATCCCTTCGGTTTGGCGATCTCTTTTTCTCTCGGATTCCCGGCTCTGCGACTCCTCAAATGCTGCTGCCTTAACAAAAACCAATTTAAACCAGGTGAACAATGCAGCTCCAATTTTAAATGAAAAATACATGCCTCTGAAAGAGATTTTTTTGCATTCTGTTCCACACTGTATTGTATGTTCCTCTTCCACGCACAATCATGCAGGTAAACGTTCACTTCTTTTCGATATATTGCAACACTCAGCTCATGTACGCACAGATACTGTTTTGGTTTTTTACCACAATTGCAATAATATCTTGGGCAAACGTTCACATGATACCTAAAAGTAGTTTCAGAGATCAACCCTGGAATGTAGCAATCGAATGAGACGCACGACGAATTTACCAATGTTAAAAGGAAAAAGAAACCTAGATTCTTCTTTCTGTTCCTTTCGACCCTTCTTTTTGGGCTTTAATCTTTTAACATAGGCTAATGGGTGGTTTTCCTTAATTTTAATTAAGAATTTTCGGATTCTCTTATCCCTACCTTAGATTTGTGGTTGCATTTTTATTTTATTTACTTCACAGGTACAACTCCAGTTCAACATTCGTAATAGTGGAGGTGTTGTTTTACAACATGCGCTTTCAACTTTTGCTTTAACCTTTCTACT